GGTCCAATTCTCATTTGGAGGCCATTGTGATTGATCAAGTTGTAGAGTAATTGATCTGGCTGAGAGCATTTTTGGATGCAATTTTTCACTCGAACAGTGGAAGGGAGGAAATTGAAATCCCTGCACATTCTTTTTCTTCTTGATCACTCTATAAGGTTTGGCACCATGTTTAACTGAATAAGACCTCATTGTATTAACCCCAGCTTCTTTCTTGACTTTAGTATTGTCAGAGCCTCTTATCTTGCCATTCTTGATAGCCATTTCGATGATTTCTCCACTTATGATGATGTAAGAGAAATTATTAGGGACAACCCCTATCATGTGATTAACATAAGGAAATTTTAATGTACTGATGAACAAAGTAGTGAACTCTTTTTCAGTCAATGGTGGATGTACTTGAGAAGCAACGTCTTTCCATCGTTGTGAATATTGTCGAAAGCTTTCATTGCACTTCATATTCATGCTTTGCAACATTGTTCGATTAGGGGCCTTATCAGTCATGTGCTTGTATTGACCCAAAAAAGCTTGAGCTAAATCCCTCCAAGAACATATTTGAGTACGTTTTAGATGATTATACCATCTGGATGCAGACCCAGATAAACTGTCTTGAAAACAGTGAATCAATAATTTTTCATTCTCTACATAGCCAGTCATACGACGACAATACATAGTGATATGATATGAAGGGCATGTGGTCCCATTATACTTCTCAAAATCTGGAACCTTGAACTTTGGTGGAATAACCAGGCCAGGGACCAAACTTAGTTCTTTGGCATCAAACCCATAAAATGACTCAACTGTCTCTATAGATTTTATCAACTCTTTTATATTTTCCAGTAGTTGAGTGAATTTTTCCTTCTCAACTGATTTGTTTTGGTCAAGGACCTCATTACTAATACAAAATTCATCAGGCTTCAACTCAGAAGTATTAGGACAATCAGTGGGGAACGATGCTCCAGCTTGATATGGTGAGTTCTTAACAGCGAAGTAAATCGGTGATTGAATTTCCTGGGGTATAGAGGTGAACTCAGGAATATGAACAGGTGTAACATCCAAAGAATTTATGTGGTTTTCAACAAGACTCTTTCCAGCGGTCTGATGCTTCTCAATCATTTCTTTCATATTGTTTAGTAGATCGATATGAGAATTTGTGATATTAGCTTCAATTTGTGCCAACTTGCTCCTCAATTCTTCATGTGTCTCTTTTTGCTCTATCTCTAATTTGGATAGCCTATCTTCAGTTTCTTTAGACATTTTTCTTGTGTCGTGCTGAGCGTTCTTGCTTCAAGGAAAAACCAAGATCACTTCGTTTGAAATCCTTATTTTAATGAATAAATGTTTTAATGTATTATGACATAAAAAATGCAAAGATGCCAAATGCAAATGTAAATATGTGAATGTAATAATAAGAATACAAATTGTGCAATACAAAAGCAAACATAAAAATACAAATGCAAAGATACCAAATGTAAATATGCAAATGTAAACATGTAAATTATTTAAAATATCAGAATAGGACATCCAGTTATATTAAGACTGCCCTTTTCTTTGATATTGAAAATAAATAAACATTATTATTTAATTAAATATGTTTTAATGCATGATGTAAATTTAAAAATGTAAATGTAAATACAAACGTAAAAATGTACAAATGCAAAATACAAATGCATGTATGAAAAGGTGTTACTCAAGAGTGATCATCTTAGAACAGATTTCATTGAACGCAAAAGTTTCGGTACATCAAACAAAACTTTACATATATGGATATATTTCATTCCTAACTTCTCCAAAGCCAAATTAGTCTATCAACTTAAGGGACATATTGCTTGTCTGGACTGCAACCTCTTCCATGACATTCTCTTTCATTTTCTGTGTCACTTCTCGGAGTTGTTCATTTTCCCTTGTAAGAGATCTTTTCTGTCCAAGAAGTTCTTGAACAAGATCTTCATATATGTTGCAGTTCTTTTTCAGCTTGGTGACCCCTGCTATCCATTCTTCTGGGGTACTTCCTAGGCCAGCATTTTGAAAGGTTTGACTGATCTTCTGAAAATCTTCATGCATGGTTTTCATTTCTGTGCTCAATTTCTCGTTTTGGTCGTTCAAGTCCTTCAAATAACATGCTTGAGCTTCATAAAAATCTCCACTACTCTGAATGTCCCGACTGATACTCTTACCATAGACTGCTTTTGGTATCAATCTAGCAGAATCTTTATGGATTACTTTTGGTATTAATATAACCGGTTCTCTGTGTGCAGAACTTCCCTCGATCCTCGTAGTTTCTTCAGGATGTCTTTCCTTGGTCGTATCATATTTTGTTTGATCATAAAACTTTTTGTACATTTCCGATTTCTTTCCAATATGATGAACAGTCTTTCAAGCCAACACCTTTTGGTTATGCCATGATCATGTAATGCAAACAAAAGAAATCAATATGAACATATTAGAGCAATGTAATATGCATGATAAAAAATAAGAAAAAATAGAATAGTTAGTACCAACTATAAAAATCTATCTATCAATGTATAAATCATAACCTCATACTTTCTAGTTCCATGCTTTGTTTGGAAAAATTAACCTAACTGCATGATTTCTAGTTCGCATGCATTTATTCAGGAAAAAGAAATAAATTAAAAGCTAGAGTTTATTTCTCCTTTGTGTATACCTACTGACAAAATTTCGGCATGGTTTCAGATCGGGAGAGTTTCTAGGGTTTATTATATGCAGGTTTTCAGTTCTAGGAGTAAAGGTACTCGAACTGTCCTTGTTGATGTCCCCTTGGGCTGTCAAACCCTCAATCCTAGTCCATCACAGACTTAAGCGGATCAAGTTCAATTCGAGGGGATACATTTCTCTATACCTGACACGGAGAATAAATTCTCACGAAGACATAGAGCATATGAACCCCGAAAATTACTTGCTAGGTCTGACACGGAGAATAAATTCTCACGAAGACGTCGCTTTCACTTCCACTTAAAAGGGACAAACTCAATTATAGAGCTTTATGTTATGCAATGCAAGTGCTCTGTGTGAGGAGAAATGTTCAAACCTCTAACAGATAAATAAAATAATTAATACCTGAATAAAAAAACAATATTAATATAAAAATAATAAATAATAAAAATTTGAAAGAAAAGAATTAAAAATTAAATAAATGAATTTTTAATTTCTAATTAATAGAGACAATTTATAATTAATTTTGAAGTTTGACAAGTCCCCAGCAGAGTCGCCAAGCTGTCGTAACCGGTTTTCGTCCGGGCACGAAAAATTTAACTTGACGGGAAAAGTGATGTGAATAAATGGTTTTGAAAATAATTTGGGAGTCGCCATCGGCCTTTTGGGTCAGGTAGGTCGAATACCTAAAAAATATCTTTTAAAAAAGTTTTTAAGAAAACATCAATTAAAAGATAAACTGATCTGCGTTTTAACCAAAAATTCGTTCTTTTTAATAATAAAAAGGGATTCGTGGTCGGTTACGTTTAGGGAAGGATTAGCACCCCTACAACGCCCAAAATTGGTACTTTTTAATTATAAATTGTCTCTATTATTAAAAATTCAAAATTCAAAATTCAAAATATATTTAATTTAAATTTATTACTATAATTTTAAGTAAATTTATTAATTTATATAAATAAAATATTTATTTATTAAGAAATATCATAAAATGACTTCTAGGTGCCTTAAGACAGCTCTTTTCTTCGATATTAAAAAATAAATAAATATAAAAACATTTTTCTAAAAATAATAATAAAAAATAGATTAATATAATTTATAAAAGTAAGATGTTTATTTATTTAAATATCAGAAAATTGACATCGAGTTGCTTTAAGACTGCCCTTTCTTAATATTTAAAAATAAGTAAACATTGTTATCTAATCGAATTAAAAATTTATAATATTGCATTTCATATAAATATTAGTGAATAAAAATATAAATAATAAATATATGAATAAATAAATAAATACTATACTAATTTAAACATATAAATGATAAAAATATATAAAAAATGACCAAAAGAAAATGATATCTAAATTAATGAACCTAACTCGAAATATAAAAATATATTTAATAATAGTGTAAATATCCCTTTATTAATCGGTGATTAGAATAATAATTATTAAAACTACAATGGTTAAATAAGTTATTTTACCTTAAAATATATATAAGCATATCATGTACTAAATTATAAAGTAAATAAAATTATAAGACCGAATTAGAAGTTTAGGATTTGATTTCAGTGACCAAATTGTAAATTTACAGAACTCAAGAGGACTACGTAAATGGTTTACCTAAATTAGAAATTACACAAACATCCCTCACCAAAACTACGTAGTTTTGGTGAGGGTTTAAATACCCTTTAATTGTCCCAAATGATTCATTTTCCCTCATTTTTCATTTTTTCACTCTCTCTTAAAGAGAGATGACAATTCTCTCTAACTTCTCTCTAGTCCTCTCTCACCGGAGGTGATCCGGTCATCGGTTGGTCGACTTGCTCCGACGCCGGCAGCCCCCGCCGGCCACCACCCGTGGTGGTCGGAAATATTTTTTTTTTTACACTAAAATTTCTTTTTATTTTTCCTAAACCCGAATCTGAGATTATTTTAACCTAAAGAGCATTTAATCTTAATATATCTACAATAATACCTTCGAACTCCGGTGGTTTCCGGCGACGTTCGGGTTCCCTGCTCCGGTAAGTTTCTTCACGATCTTCTCTTTCTGTTTTGGTGCTTGTTTGTTGGGTATTTTCTCTAGCTTCCTTCTCTTGCTCTATCTATCGATTCCCCTTCTCTCTCTTTGCAGGCTCGGTGGTGGCTTTTATAGCCACCACAAAGCTTTCTATGGACCGGGTAATAAGGGGGAATTCGGTGAGTCACTAAACTATGGTGGTGACTCACCTATAGCTTCAATGTGGAGGGGCAGCTGTCGCTGGAAGCTACTGGAAATGCTGCGTGGAGGGACTGCTGCAGCTGCTGGAAATTGCTGGAAATGCAACGTGGAGATGCTGGAATGGAGAGGTAAAAATGGTGATTACACAATGTTGTCCCAGATAATGGTGAATCACATTCAATGGATGATGAACAAACGCTTGAGAACAAGACATCTGTTGATTATGAGAGAGACGACAAGAATGATACATCAACTGCAGACATGAGTAATACAGATGACAGTGGAGAGATGGGGTACTCGGAGAAGTTAAACTTTGATAGGAATTCGAGTGATGACTCCATGGAGGAGGATTTGCCTGAAACCAAGCAAAGTGATTCACAATGTAGTACCGATGAAATACAAGAAGACAGTGTGGAGAACGAATCACTTATTATCAAGGAACTGGAAAGTCATGTTGTTGAGAATAAGAGCCATTCTTCTATTCCTGCTGAGAAAAGAAAGCTTCAGGGTAAGTGATAAAGTATTGTAATTGAAACCTCCATTTGGTGGGGCAATTCTCACAATATTAGTTGTCTTCACAGATGAAGAAGCTATGGAGAACAATGAACCTCCAAAAAGGCACAAATGGAATTCTAATGCCTTTACACCAACCGACAAGCCAAAAGACACTACGCAACTGGCTGCTTTTCAATCCAACTCTTCCTCATCAGACTCCAAAGATAACGAAGATACGACCAAGGAACAAGATGGTAAGTTCTCATTTCTCAGTCAGATATAAAAAGAACTTTGGTCAAATTCTATATATGGTCTGTGTACTGTGTGTTTTTCGACATATCTAATCTGTTATAATTTGATCCTTTTTATTTCGGCATCTTTGAAATTATCATTATTCATGCAGTTTCCATCTGTGGAAGAAGCAATAGAGACATGTGATACAATTTATAACCTGCAATGGCCACCTAATGGTGGACGTCTATTGGTGGCTGAATTTGTGGATCCTCATGAAGTTGAAACACTCACTTCCCAGCCCCAACCCTCAGCTCATCAATAGGTTTCACCGCCGTCGCCACCTTCAGAGGAACCAGATTCACCTATGCTCACCCTAGATGACCAATTTTGGAAAACCAAAGCAACTCCTAAGATCTACCATTTGCCTCTTTCAGAAGAACAAGTTGCTGCAAAACAAGCCACACACTACTACGTGAGGGAAACACCAGGCAGTGGTGATCAGGCCCTAGTTTATCTCCGGTTGCTTTTCAGATTTCTTTCTATTTATCAGTCTGTATGTTAAGGTGAAGATAAGAATGTGTCACATAATCACCTCTTTGTAGTTTATAATGTTTGAATTATACATTATCGGACTTGCCATGTTGCATGCATTTTGTTCAGGAATGTAGAATACCAAAAACAACAACAAATAGACGTAAGTTTTGCTTCTTTATTTAAACGTTTAAAGCCAATGAGAAGGAAAGGAATCCTCCAAAAAATGGCATCTTTGGCTACCAAGAAAATTGTTTCTGTTAATCATCATCGTCACCCGGAAGGATTACTCGACTGCCCAAATCCTCATCGGGCGAAAAACATTGACCAGCAAGATTTGTATTGTCACCCAAGTTGTTGATAATGAAAAACCCAAAACCATTCACTGTGGGATGGCTAGAAATAATTAGAAGTAGAAGGGGGAATAACAGTAGCTCATGACTTTTCCAGGGACTCCTTGTTGGAGAATTAAACTGATGTTGATGTCTCTACAATTTGGTCATCCAGATTACTAAAGCTATTCTTTTATCTACCATACAACTGGTTCTAGAATCATAGAATCTTTATTATTTCAAGCAAAATATAAAATAAATCATGAAAAATACTCGAAAAGGTTCGATTGAATCTAAAGATTATAATAATATGTTATCGTGACAAAAAAATCCAAGTGACCACATTAAACCTGCAGCAGGTTTGAGGTTGGAGAAATCAACCTTTCATTGCTTTCCTAATAATGAAATCTTTAACAAAAATTGGCAAATGGTACATAATTCCCATAATAGTGGAGTAATGACCTGTTGAGAACCAAGCTGGGGGATTTTTCTTCAGTATTACCTTCACTGTATCCTTTGCAAACACATCTGCTGGGGTTGTCTTGGATCGTTGCGAAAAGTAAGCTCTCTTGGATGGCTTGTTCGAATGGTTTGTATAGATTCCACTCGGGCATCCTGTTGTAGCTAGCAATAGCAGAATTCCCTATGTTTGACCTTAGAGCTCCTGGAACAACATTGATGACATCGATCCCGAAATGGCTCAGCTCCAATCTGCATACATCACAAAATATAATAAAAAAAAACTACATTCTTGCTTGGTTTGGAAGATCATAAGGGATTACCCTATATTACTTGTACTGTATACGAGCATGTGTCTAATATGGGTATGCTTAATTGTTTTCAAAGATTTTTTTTTTGTGTTTTAAGTGTCTTTGGAGGGTTATGTTCTCATAGCTATATATGAATGTGCTGGACAAGTGTACTTTAAAAAAATGAAGAATCGGAGCAAAGCAAGATGTTGTAACCGTTTTTTGGCGGGAATAATCGTTTAATTGTTTAGAAAATAGTTACGATTTTAAATTTTGGAAAATGAAGTGATTTGAATTGATTTGAAATAATTTGGATAGAGTCGTCATCAACCTTTGGGTTAGGTAGGTTGAATACCTAAAACCGTCTTTTAAAAACAATTTTAAGAAAAAACATTTTTTAAGACAAAAGTTGGTATGCGTTTACCAAATATTTGATTAAAACGGGTTCGGGAGTCGGTTACGCATGGGGAAGGATTAACACCCCCCACAACGCCCAAAATTGGTACTGTGTTGTTTATATATTGTCGTAATGGTGGAAATCCAAGAATTCGAATATCAAGTTAAAATATGATCCATTTATTAAATATTTATTGAAAAAATAAATACAGTGGGTCAAAAATATTAAAGAGACCAAAATATAATATTATTAAAATTTATTTAATCAAAAAGGAAATTATAATTATTTTTTATGAAAAAATGCATTGTTTTGTAGTTCCTTGAAAATGCACTTCCTTTGTAGTTAGGAGACTTACAAAAAAATATATTGTATGAGTTTTTAGATAAAATACATATATGTAAACAAAAAATTACTCGAAAATAAATTATATTATTTTATTCGAACAATTCTTAGAAACACACTCCTTATCAGCTAAGACGCATTTCTATAAATTCATCGAATAAAATAACATTTTAAAAATATTACAAATATCAATAAATTAACACATGTAAATGACAGGTAAAATTGCATGGATAAAGAAATTAATATAAAAAAATAATAGAATAAACAAAGGTATAAAGCTCACAAAATATACACATATTATACTTTAATTCAAAACCCAAACAATGTATAAGGGTTTAAAATATATGCATCGAAATGATCAAAACCAATTGTAAGAAAAAAATCAAAACCAATAAACAGTAAATTTCCTATTTTAATAACTAACCATCTTAAATTAGGTGCAATATGATATGAAGCAATGATTGACAAAAAAAATAAAAAAATAATACTAATGATTACACACAAATCAGCTAAGATTAACGACTAAATTAAATACTAATTTTCTTTAAAATAGGTAAGGATATAAATGGTAGGGCACACACACAATAATAGGGAAAGGAATAGAAATAAATGTAATGGTGCTAAGAAGTTAAATAAAAAATGAGTAACTAAATTGAAAAAACCCGTTCAATATGAATACAAAACCTTGTAGCTTCAACATTAATTTATGGGATCTAACTTATATGCTATCATTTAATAATGTTTAATTAATTAATTAATATTATATAACACTAATGTCAAAGTTGGAAGACAATTGCATGTGAACGGCAAACATAATTTTCAAACATCATCAAATCTAACATTATTTTATTCATACTTTTTTTATAATATTCTAATATTATAAACTAATAAATAATTATTAAAACTTAAGGATCACATAAACCATATACTTCGTTTTTCTTTTGAAATTGAAATCAATTAATCTATTACAAAAATTTTTTAGATCACAATATTAAATAATAATTATATATATTGACTAAAATGAATTATTTTATTAATATAATATCTAAATTCGAATATTAACAAAAATTATAAAATAAATAAATTAGGACTAAAAAGAAACATGCAGAAAGTTAAAAATCGAATGTATAAACAAACATAAACTAATTACACTGCTAATTAGGATTTAAATTAAATTTGGGTAAAGCATGGAGACAAGATTAAAAATGCAAAAATATTGATTTAAGGACTATAATATATAAAACTGAAATATTAAAACTCAAAATAAAATAAAGAAAACTTCATTTAATGACTATAAGGTATGGATATAAATTAACAGGGACTAAACGTGTAGTTCTTCCCTAAATGGAAAACACAGGTGAGATTATAAAAGAGCAAGGATTAAAACTGTAATTAGCCCTAAAAGTTTACAAAACACGGAAATAAGAGATCTTAAAACTACACCGTTTTGATCCAAATATTTAATATCTAAAACCGGTTTAAACTTTACTCTTCTCCCTCATTTTAACATTTCCCTTTCTTTCTCTGGTTTTAGAGAGAAAAGTTTTCTCTCAACTTCTCCTCGCCGGGAAAAGAAACCATGGCGGAGCTCGCGGTGGTGAGCGGCGGAGCACGGTGGCGCCGACGTCTAGAGATGACTAAAAGCTATCGATATATTCCTCTCCTTACCCTTAACACGAATCTAGCCTCCCCTTAGTCTAAAACTTAACCCAAAACCATAGATCTAAGGGATTACCTTCGAAATAAATGAAGAACACGGCAACTTTCGAGCTTCCACGACCGGCTTCAAAGCTTCCTGATGGCTTTGAACCTCCACTGTAAGTCCTCTCCTCATAAATCTTTTTTTAGTGTTTTCGTTTGAATCTCTCTCCTTGATGAGTGTTTTTTTGTTCTTCCCCCCCTCAACTTCGAATCATCTGCGTATTTTATGGTTGATATCTTCACCGAATCTCCTTGGATGCATCTGAAATTTCTTTGCATTTGGTATGAAAATGACAAGTTTAGGTATGATTTAGGTGATCTGCTTTTGACTTTGCTGATATCATTTATTTATTTTGCTGTTTGGTGACCAACATGGTGATGATGACGGTTCAGCTTGCTCGGCGGTGGCTCGGCTGAAATTTGGTGTATTCGGCGACTGACTTTGGTTTAGGGGATTAGGGTTTCAAAAACCCTAAAGCTACTGGGTTGTCATTTAGGATGCTTGGGTTTGCTTGTTGGGTCACTGGTGTTGGGCCTCTTGGTATTTGTAATTGGGCCTGCAAATATTGTAAAATAATAATAATAATAATAATCATACTATAGTATATAATAATAAATATAATATACATTTTAATCCCAATCAAAAAATGGGTGTCTACAACTGCCCCTCTTTGCACATTCTTGTTTTAACAAGAATAGGGCAAAGATGAAAAAGACAACCAGTTTTTTGTCCATTCTTCATTCGTTGTTGGATTGAACAAGTTCTTCTTATTATGAACTTCTTCTCTCTTGTGGATGAGTTCTTCTCATTATGAACTCTTCACTGAAAATGTTGAGTCACATATTTCTGTGGTGGACTTGAAATCAAGGTTGAATAAGTTCTTCTCATTATGAACTTCTTCTCCCTCTGTCGGATGAGTTCTTCTCATTATGAACTCTCAATTGGAAATGTCAATCCCTCAAGTGAGGTGTCAATGATTCGAAATATCGTGAATCGAGTGATAGGTCAAACAAGTTCTTCTCATTATGAACTTCTTCTCCCTCTGTCGGATGAGTTCTTCTCATTATGAACTCTCAATTGGAAATGTCAATCCCTCAAGTGAGGTGTCACTGATTCAAAATGCAGTGAATCGAGTGATAGGTCGAACAAGCTCTTCTCATTATGAACTTCTTCTCCCTCTGTCGGATGAGTTATTCTCATTATAAACTCTCAATTGGAAATGGCAGTCCCTCAAGTGAGGTGTCACTGATTCAAAATACCGTGAATCGAGTGATAGGTCGAACAAGCTCTTCTCATTATGAACTTCTTCTCTTTCTGTTGGATGAGTTCTTCTCATTATGAACTTTTCACTGGAAATGTTGATCCCTCAAGCAAGACATCACTGATTCGAAATACCATGAATCGAGTGATAGGTCGAACAAGCTCTTCTCAATGTGAATTTCTTCTCCCTCTATCGGATGAGTTCTTCTCATTATGAACTCTCCATTGGAAATGTTGGTTCACCTCCTTCTGCGGTGAATCTTAATTGTTATT